CACAGCGCCCCTAGAGGACAGAGTGGAACTGCACCACAGGGTCTCCAAGGCTGTCAATCTTTATGGAAGCTGACTGCCTCATCTTTCTTCTACAGAGTAGCTAGTGCGTTTGAACCACCGACCTTTTGGTTAGCAGCCAAACGCCTTAACCACTACACCACCAGAGCTCCCTGAAGAAATAATAGGCCATGCAATAAACTGAGAGGTCTTTCAATGGCTATCAAGCGTGCTTGGCAACTGTGCACCAATAGTTATCTCTTCTTATTTACAGAAATGAACACAAGGAGAAAAAGACCATTGACACCTACAGACAACTAACTCATGATGCTTTGGATATCTTTGCACCCAAATCCTTTTGGTAACAACTCCCCCTCCACCAAGGGTCAAAGTCTCATTCCTTCCCATTTGTCTAGGGTTGGTAAAGTGAGCTGTCAAACCGATATTTTCATAACCATAAACATTTGTTATAGAAAGCGTGATACTGCGCACAGTAAAACAATGTTTGCGGGTTATAACAACCTGAAATTTTACAAGGTCTCCATGGTCCACGGTTCCAGGGGAGAGTGGTGAACATTCAGGGAGATGCTGAGGAGACATAGTGCAAGCTGAGAAATGCAAAGCCCTGCTCTGGCCCCATCGGGTTTTCTGGGCAGTAACCTTCACAGGAGCAGACATCCAGGCCTTCCCTCCGCAGTACAGGTGAGTGGGTTTGAACGGCCAACCCTGTGGTTAGCTGCCAAGGACTTAACCATTGCGCTACCGGGGCTCCTAACAAAATCATAGTGTTTGAGTCAATCCCGCCTCATGGCAACCCCACGTGTTAACAGGGTAGGATGGTTCTCCAGAGACCTGCCTTGGCTGGAATCTTGATACATGCAGACCCCCAGGCTTTGATTACGTGGTGCCTGGGTGTGTTCAAACTAGCAACCTTTAGGTTAGGAGTCATGCATCAAGGGTCTGCACTACCTGGGAACCTGGGTTGACGACTCTGGGTACTCTAACTTCTATCTTCAAGCATCCCCTCATCACTGTGAGATTGTATTCTATCCATACATCTCATCACAGTGCCTTATGAAACGGTCTCTAGCTATTGAGAATTATCTAGCACCATGGGACGCTGGGTAACCAGAAGGCCCAGCTTGGAGATATCAAGTTGTTGTTGTTGTTGTGTGCTGATACAACAGAGACCCCTCCTTGGGTTTTCGAGGCAATATTGCTACACAAGTAGATTGCCCCATCTTCCTTCCAAAGAGTGGCTGGTGGGTTTGAACCGCCAGCCTTCTGGTTAGCAGTCAAGTGCCTTATGCACTATGCTACCAGAGCTCCCAGAGATCTCAAGACAGCAGCTTTTTAATTATTTTATTTATTTTTACTTTAACTGGGTTGAAAACATACACAACAAGACATTCACTAAGCCTTAGCTTCCAACAAGACATTAACAACTTCCCCCTTTTACAGCTCAGGCACATGGATGACATTTTTCATGTTGTGCCACCATCATTGCTGTCCTTTTCTAAAATATTCCACCACCACCAGCATCAAGTCAGTGCCCTGCAAACAAAAGCTTCCCCTTTAAGACAGCAACTTGTGCTGTGAAGTGTGCACGGTTAAGAGAATCCACTTGACCAAGAGGGGCAACAGCTACCCAAAGCAGGACTTGGGCTGTCAATCTGAGATGCTCATGGTGACAAAGTAAGTCCATTCTATGCATGAAGTCTTGGGAAGTTTCTTGTGTTCCTAGCTGTGAAATCTTGAGTCAATTAAATTCTTTAGCCTCTATTGGCTGCAACTTCCTCATCTATAACCAGCTGTCCATGAGTCAACTGCAACCGTGGCGACTCCATGTGCGTAGGGGTGGGACTGTGCTCCATAGGGGTGTCAATGGCTGAGTCTTCAGAAGCTGACTGCTAGGACCTTCTTCTGAGGCACCTTCTGGGTGCGTTCTGACCGTCAATCTTTCGGTCAGCAGCTGAGCACTGTAACCATTTGCACTGACCAGGGCCTCCTCATCTGTACAGTAGATAAGAATATCAACCCGGGTGGTAACTGGGGAAAGTTAAATATAATAACTGCAGGACACACATCCAGGGCAGTGCGTTTGCTTGAGGCTTTGTTTCTGTGAAGACTGACAGCTTTGGAAACCCTGTGGGGTAGTTCCACTCTGTCTTCTAGGGGCGCTGTGAGTCAGAATGGACTCCAGGGCAGTGGGTGTGGTTTGGGCTTTGCTTCCATGTGATTGACAGCTTTGGAAACCCTGAGGTGCAGTTCCACTCTGTCCTCTAGGGGCGCTGTGGGTCAGAATCAACTCCACAGCAGTGGGTGTGGTTTGGGCTTTGCTTCTGTGAAGATTGACAGCCTTGGAGACCCTGTGGTGCAGTTCCACTCTGTCCTCTAGGGGCGCTGTGAGTCGGAATGGACTTGTTGGCAATAGGTTCCTCCCAGTGTATGAATGGGTTGCTTTAATTGTCACCCAGTCAAATCTGACACATGGCGACCTCCTAAAAATTAACAGACAGAAGGGACTATAACACGAAATGTGGGTTACTGTGGCACACAAGAAAAAGAATTTTACCCTTTAACTGAATCTACAGGAAGCACTGAGGTTTTATTTTATTAACAGGATGCATAAGAAAATTTAATATTCTGGGCTACATATAATACCATGAGCTTTCTCTTTCGTGTATTCAGATGGAATCATGAATGTCTTTGAAAACAAATCTGTTTTTTATTTCTTCTATTTGAGATTCTTTGTTTGGGAAAAATATTGTATTCAATATACTGATCCCCGGACATGATTATTTTTTAAGATTTCTTGTACTAATAAACAATTTCCATTTCCTGGAATATGCCATGGGTACATTTGCTTTTGATTTTGATTGGTTTGGAAGAAATGAAGGGCAGCAATGCGTTCCTTTATTGACCATTTTACTTTATTTCTTATGCATCTAAATCCATTTTCCCCACAGGTGTGACTTTATTGCCTGGCTTCTGGGCCTATTAGGGCTGTCATCTTTTATTCCAGAGTAGACATCTAGGAAATAAGAGTGTTCTGTTTATGGGAATATTAGGTTCTTTTGGAAGGAATTCAGTGTGTGTCTGAGAGGTAGACAAACATTTATTCTGTTCTCAAAGAACAGAGCTGAGGATTTGGGGAATCCGGGTCAGTCAGCTTTAGCCAGATACAATCTCTCTATTAAGGTTTTGGAGATGCACTGGCTGTCTTCCTAAAACAACATAAACTCAAGGAGATTATGAACGCCCAAGTCATCTGGGTTGTCAAACACTCAAAAGACAGTCACAGCTCTAAGTAGGATATCAGTGTGTATTAGACCGTCCTTTATCATACAGAGTATTTTAATTACCACAAGTAAAATTCAAGATCATAATGATGAAGGAGAGAGAAACAGGCATGATCTCATCTCCCTCCTAAAAGCTTCAATGCACGTCTTCATCTCCACTCCCCGGCCCCTAACACATCCAGGTTCAGCTGTTGAATTTTACTGGAGATATAGCCTAGGCAGTGATGGACATATTTCAAAGATCTTGGGCTTTGCTTTGTTTGCAGAGACATTCTTGTTGTTGTTAGGTGGTCTTGAGTCAGCTCTGACTCACAGTGACACTATGGACAACACAGTAAAACACTGCCTCACAATCCTTGCAA